CCCCTCCACCCCCTTCCCCACCCCACTAAGCCAGCCTAGCAGGGAAAGGTCTAGTTCAGGAAAGGCAAAGTTTAATCTTTGCCTCAGTATCCATAGCCACTCCTACATATACATATATGTGATACTGTCAATAGCTATTCCCTGAAGATTCAGGTTGAAGCACCCCTGTTAGAGTCAGTCAGTTCTGGCCCCAGTATGGATGGAAGGAGTGCCTTATCTCCTCTTTGCCCAAGAGTATGCTTTGCTTGCCTTTGCTGAAGGAAGACAAATCAAGGTCAATAAGATCGATATTAGCCACATGGGATAAATTTAGACGTAGCTCTTTTCTAAAGGAATAAATAGCTGAGTCCAACAACATGCTAAGGGACAAGTAAACCCTACCTTTCCTAACCCCTCACTCAAATTTTGTTCTCTCTAACCATATTTATACTTGCTTTAAGGGGAGAATAACACGTTAATCCCACTGGTCAAGCAATGGTAAAGAAGTATTAATTATGATCACATCAGAATTCTGATTTAGCTCACTCAATGTTTAGTGCAGGGTGCCTCAAAAGTCTTAATACAGTTTTACTAGCTTAGAAGTACACAAAAACTGTGGAAACAACGTGTATAATGGAAGTCATTATAGTCTTCTGCTCTATACTGCAATAGTGCACACTGACTTAGCAAGCCATTGGTACTCATTTTGAACCCTAGGTCCTCTTTAGTGGCAGGTTTCTATAGCCAGGTATTCCTCACCTATTTGCTTTGAACTTTTCTTCCCAAGGAGCATATTCTACGCTTATCAGAAGAGATCTAACAGGTAGGAAGAAGAAGTACTAAAACATACAAACAAACAAAGAGTGAACATGCAATAAAAGCATTAATTCATTTCATTTATTTTCTCATTCACAAATATCAATTGAATGGCTACTGTGCATACTAATGTAGGAGACATGAAGTTCAACTTTCTGGTTTTCATCTTGAAAGGGAAGAGGGAATCCTCATGCCAATCCCAGTGATATAATCCTAAATTATATTGCAAAATAACAGATGGAAACTTGTTTGCCAAGTTGACTCACTGACTTGAGAAATATCACGAAATACTCTGGTTCTTCTTTCTCATATCCCAACCCTCTGATATCTTCTGACTTTTGCTTCCTTCCCCACTAATATCAGCAACCTTTGCTGGATCAAGCTGCAATCTCTTAGCCTAGGAAAATTACTAGGAAAATTAAATCCCCTCTGGTATGGGAATGTATCACAAAGGAAGTAGAAAAGATCTTTACAAGGCAAGAAGGACCATGCCTGAAGATCTTGGGAGAAGAGAAGGGAGGAAGACAGGGAATCACTTAGTATAATATGACTCAATTTTTAAAAGGCACTTTGGACAAAATACAATATGGAAATTCCAAGTTTTACAGCATTGTTCTTCCCTTTATAATGATGATTCAAGAGACTTTATTTAGAGTAAAGATTATATCATCTCTCTCAGAAGAATAATTAATAATAATAATAATAATAAAGATACAGTCTTTAGGACCAGGAAGATCCTTGCTCAGGTACTCGATGATCTCTACATGAAAGTCACTCTGGTTGAGTTGAGTATTACTATTAGAAAAATTTGGTTTATATGTGTGGACTTATAACTATTATCCACTTTTATTTTTATAGGCTGAATGAACACTCTGAGCTGCTTCTAGAAATTACTATTTTCCAAGAAGGGGTCATTTTGGTCCTCCACTGTCTACAATAAGTCTTGATTATTTAGAGACATTATTCAGTGTGGATCATCCGGGTCCTTGAGTAAAGAGCTAATGTAATTTCCTGGACTTAGGAATTCAAGTCTACACTATGCTTCTTGTCACTTATTGTATGACCTGAGGCAAGATACTTAGATCCTCAGTTTACTGACTAATCAACAAGTAATTTATTAAATAGTGACTATGTGTCAGGGACTGTGCAAAGAACTAGAAGTTGAAAGCTGTTGTCCTCATAGAGATGTTGTGAGGGGAAAAAAATGAAATAATTTATATAAAGTGTTTTGTAACCATAAAACATCCTTTAAATGCTAGTCTATTATAGCTACGTTTAGCTCCTGCTCCCTTCTGTTGCCCAAGTTTTAGCCATTATCATGCTCACTAATCTGGAACAGAGAGGGAGAGCAGAAGGGCATGAAGATGAAACTTCGACTTTAATTGCAACAAATTGGAAATGACTGAAAGGTCTGCTTTTCTTGTCCAGCCTTGTTCCCCATTGCACATAGGGCCTATTGTCTTTTTCTTGGGCCAGCCCATAGTTGAAAATGAAGGACTCACGATTAGGCTCCTCCCCAGGCAGGCAGTGTTTCTGGGCAAGAAAAGGTTCTTTATACCAAAGGGGAAAGGATGTTTATGAAACTGTTTCTAGTTATGCTACCTGATTTCTCAATAGATTTAACTTAATTTCTTTGAGATGAACTGCTTATTTTCTTAGCCATATAAACATCTCTAATAGTACTATTGACTTTGTTTCCAATAACAACTGATATTAAGATAATATATTTATAATTGTATATATTAAACATATAATATATGTCATGTATATAACATATTAAATATATATTATAATACTTGGGATTTATACAAAATATTTAGTGGGCAGTTATATACACACACATACATACATATATACTTGCTTGTATATGTATATGTACCCATGTACGTATGGATGGATGTGTGTGTATGTGTGTGTGTGTGTAGTGAATTCCAAGATGTGCTGGTGGGTACTGACTTGCATAAATAAAGAGAAATGCAAATTACCAAAAGGGCAATCTGTCAGCACCAGAAATTCAGTAAGCAACAAGGGAGGAAAGATGTTTCCATGAGTTCTCATCCTAGCCATAAAATTCTCAGTTGTTATCTCGGCAGACCAAGTATAAGCTCTTAAATCTTTTTAGAATGTGGTGATACAGACATTGTTCACAAATAGTGGGGTTTTTTTTAGTGGTTCAAAAAAGCTGCCAGGATAATTTTACTATATTTGGACAATATTATCAAATGAAAATAAAATGATCTAATTGCTATAAAGAAGTGCCAAGACCCAATTTTGAATAAAAGTAGACATTAGCAATTGAGCATCAGCTCAAAAGAAATCATCTAACTCGATTGGATAGACCCACTATTTTTATTTTTCTTTTAAATTTTGTTGCTATCTTTCATTCATCTATCATTTCTAAATATGTAGGTGGCTTCCCCAGCCCCCAAAGGAGTTTAGGGTGATTCCGTAGAAAGAGTACTGGACAGGAAGTCAGAAAACCTGGATTCTAATCTCACCTCGGTTGCTTATGAAATATATGACCTGGGACAAGTCATTTAGTCCTTCTGAGTCTCAGTTTCCTCCATTTAAAATGAGGTACTTGGATTATAAGATAACCTTATAATTCTGTGGTTATAAGGAGGAAATATGTAGACTATTTTAAGTAAAAATCACAATAAATGTCAAGAAAGAGAGGAAAAAAAAGCAGAACAATGTACTATTACATGAAAGTGCTGCATATCCACATCTGTGTAATTAAGTACAGAGCAACCCTCTCTATATGAGAAGAATAGAAGGAACTGTCTCCTGAAAGGGAAGTCAATGACTGAGACAGAGCATGAATTGTGGTCATCATTACCGTTGGCTTTCTCCGGTCAAGAGACCAGTATCTTAAATACAATCTAGCAAAATTAGGAACAGAATCTGCAGAACCCCAACTTTTTCTTCCTATTTTGGGGCTGTGATGTTAAAGTCGGGCTGGAAGATACTGTTCTTCCAGCCAAACTCAAATGAACAGTTTAGTCTGAAAATTAAGGGGACAAGGGAATATTTTTAGCTCCTATTGAATAAAATGTATGCTTATTTCAAGCTCTGAGAATGTCTATACTCTGCAGTCCATGAGGCAAACTGTCATCTCCCAGAGAGATTTAGCTAGCTAAGCTGGCAAGGTGCACATTACAGAGGCTTGGATGGTGGCCATGGTCACCTTTTTGCCTGAACATTTGACCTGTGTGGATACACATTATCAGAGTTGGGTCAGTCATGAAGGTCAGTGATTGATTCTGAAATCTGTTTGCTTCTATATTGGCTAGTATGCAAGGTTAGCAGTGCCAATATGTAAAATCTTGCCTTCCCAATGCACCCAAACACCTGTATAGCCATAGTCTGTATAAGATACCCAAA